GTCTGTTGACTGACCTTTATATTTGTTCAAATAATTGTTATGGGCAGGTTAGAATATAAAACTGTTTGTCATAATCGTCTTGTGATTATTTAACAGGGGTTTTACTTTAAAACTGTAAGTGTATTTAATTTAGTTATGTTAGTTATGATAGTTTAGTAATGATGTAAATACAGTAAAAATTAAACAAGATTTAGAGTAATTATCATTTTGATCCATACATTGGTAATGTCTGACTGGGCCTCGTGACACTTTATGTTCAACAAATTGGGCCCCGAGGTCAAAAAGGTTAAGAACCCCTGGTCTACAGTACACATGACAACAGAATACTTTTTGACTCAGTTCATTTTAAAGTTGTTTTGGGCGACACAAAATGGCAGTGTTCCTGGATGGTGTTCACATGTAGCTTCCTCTTTGCATGATAGAGCTTGAACCAGCATTTATGGATCGCACAGTGAACTGTGTTTACGGACAGTGATTGTGGAATCAGACCTGTTTGTCTGAAGACCCAAAAATCCAGTATTAACTTCCAGCCTGGTTCTTTGAGCTCAGAGAGTTCTCCAGATCCTTGAAATCCTCTGGTGATATTATGACTGTAGATGATGGAACATTCAAAGTACTTTTTGTGTGCTGATGAACATCCTAAAATGTTTCCACTCTTTTAGACGGTTTCTTACAGACTGATGAACCTCTGCCCATCTTTACTTCTAAGGGATTCAGTCTCACTAAAACACTGTTTTTCTATCGAGTCCTCTTACTGACCTGTTGCCAGTTGTTATTTATTTAAGAAGGGACAGTGCAGATTACAGAACATGCCAGAATTAGCCTTGAAGGCTAGTTTTCATCTGTAACCAATGTTACAGATGACCAAAATCAGCTTACCTTTACAGCCTTTTGTTGCTGATGTTCTAACTTTTTTGATGTGTTGCAAAATCAGACTTATCTTGTTTTCCCCTAAAATCTGTCAAATGCCTTTAACGTTTGATATGTTTACTATGTCACATTGTGAATAATTGCATATCATTTTATTCAATGTCCTAATTCGTTATGTGATATGAAGATGAGAGTGGATGAAAGTTTGTCTTCTGTCCTCAGATGAGGACCACTCTGAGGATGCAGGCAGGGAGACGGGCAGGCCGCCTGGATCTCATTCATCTTCCTCTCAGGTGGACAGTCACGCTTCACCAAGCCCGGGTCCCCCGGCCCTGGACGGTTCCTCCTCCGGCCACGATCTCCCCCGTCCCTTTTCTGTGTCGCCCTGCTCCGGGGACCGACTGTCAGGAGACCACATCCTTCACAAGCAGCTGCTCTCCCCTCACTTTAAAAAGGAAGGCCTCGTGGCTTTCCCCACCGCCCTCTATGCAGCTAAAGTTGCACTCATGTCGACCTGCCAGGGGTCTGCGGGGGCCGGACCCGCTGACGCCGGCCTGCCCAGCGACCAGTCGGAAAGCGGCAGCTCGACTGCAGGAGAGGAGGACCAACTGGACACGGCGGAGATCGCCTTTCAGGTGAAAGAGCAGCTGCTGAAGCATAACATCGGCCAGCGAGTGTTTGGCCACTACGTTTTGGGCCTCTCCCAGGGCTCAGTCAGTGAAATCCTGGCAAGACCCAAACCATGGAGGAAGCTGACGGTGAAAGGCAAAGAGCCTTTTATAAAGATGAAGCAGTTTCTCTCGGATGAGCAGAACATCTTGGCTCTCAGAACCATCCAGGTCCGACAGAGAGGTGAGTGCGACGACTGTGACAGAATCAGATTAAATGAAAACACTGAACTGTGTGAACAGACTGTGTACTGCTCTACAACACAATGGGCCTCATGCAAGAACTGTTCGTACGCACAGATTTGTTCTTCAGTTGTGCGTACGAG